AAAAAAACCCCCAAAAAACCCCAAAACCACCCCAAAAAGCCTCACCTTGATCCCGACGACGCCACCCTTGGCCCGGATGACCTGCGGGAAGGGGCGGCCATCGTCAGCCTTCTGGTAGAGCGTCTCGTGGAACAGGATGACGCCGCCGATGCACGGATCCACGCGGTTATCGGCCGTGAACAGCAGCTGCCGGTACCAGCGCCGGTTCTCCTCCGTGTTCTCCGCCCCCACCGAGCTCAGCCGCTTGGCGATGCTGCCTGCACACCAGTAAGGACCAGTATGGACCAGTTAGACCCCATCCCGGACACTGGTTTGGAGAAGGGACTCAACGTGAGATCCCAGCATCGCCCATGGAGCTCCTGCTGCCACCTTGACCTCCTCATGTGCTCCATGACTCCTGTTATCATCCCAGTTCATCCCAGTTCATCCCAGTTCATCCCAGTAACGCATACTGGCGTCCCACAGTGGTTCCAGTGCCGTCCAGTAGCTCCCAGTCCATCCCAGTACCTCCCAGTATGACCCAAACACCTCCTGGCGTCACCTCGACCTTCTCAGATGCTCCACAACGACTCCTATCTCCACCCCAGTTCATCCCAGTCCATCCCAGTTCATCCCAGTTCAGCCCAGTAACGAGTACTGGAGTCTCACAGCGGTTCCAGTGCCTCCCAGTAGCTCCCAGTCCATCCCAGTACCTCCCAGTACGACCCAAACACCTTCTCAGACGTTTCACAATGACACCTATCTCCATCCCAGTCCATCCCAGTAAGTTGCAGTGGCTCCCAGTTCATCCCAGTTCATCCCAGTAACGCCTACTGGCATCTCAGAGTGGTTCTAGTGCCTCCCAGTAGCTCCCAGTCCATCCCAGTACCTCCCAGTATGACCCAAACACCTCCTGGCGTCACCTCGACCTTCTCAGATGCTTCACAATGACAGCTATCACCATCCCAGTAGGCTCCAGTTGCTCCCAGTTCATCCCAGTTCATCCCAGTAACGCATACTGGCGTCTCACAGCGGTTCCAGTGCCTCCCAGTAGCTCCCAGTCCATCCCAGTAGCTCCCAGTATGACCAAAGCACCTTCTCTGGCGCTTCACAATGACACCTATCGCCATCCCAGTCCATCCCAGTAGGCTCCAGTTGCTCCCAGTTCATCCCAGTTCATCCCAGTAACGCATACTGGCGTCTCACAGCGGTTCCAGTGCCTCCCAGTAGCTCCCAGTCCATCCCAGTAGCTCCCAGTATGACCGAAACACCTCCTGGTGCCTCTCAACCTTCTCAGATGTTCTATGCTGACTCCTATCGCCACCCCAGTCCATCCCAGTTCATCCCAGTCCATCCCAGTTCACCCCAATAACCCATACTGGTGTCTTAGTGTGATTCCACTGCCTCCCAGTAGCTCCCAGTCCATCCCAGTATATCCCAGTATGGCCCACACACCTCCTGGTGCCACCTCAACTTCCCCAGATGCTACATGCTGACTCCTATCGCCATCCCAGTTCATCCCAGTCCATCCCAGTCCATCCCAGTTCATCCCAATAACCCATACTGGTGTCTCAGAGTGGTTCCAGTGCCTCCCAGTAAGACCCAGTAGCTCCCAGTAACTCCCACGGACCGCCTGGTGCCACCTCGACCTTCTCAGATGCTTCACAGTGACTCCTATTGGGCTCCCAGTACAAACCAGTCCATCCCAGTATGGCCCAGTCACCCCATTTCACCAACCAGTCCATCCCAGTCCATACCAGTATGGCCCAGTCACCCCGTATCTCCTCCCAGTGCCGTCCCAGTCCATCCCAGTATGGCCCAGTCGCCCCGTATCTCCTCCCAGTGCCCTCCCAGTCCCATACCAGTATGGCCCAGTCACCCCATATCTCCTCCCAGTGCCCTCCCAGTCCGTCCCAGTATGGCCCAGTCGCCCCATATCTCCTCCCAGTGCCCGCCCAGTCCATTCCAGTATGGCCCAGTCACCCCGTATCTCCTCCCAGTCCATTCCAGTATGGCCCAGTCACCCCATATCTCCTCCCAGTCGATCCCAGTATAACATAGTTACCCCGTATCTCCTCCCAGTGCCCTCCCAGTCCATTCCAGTATGGCCCAGTCACCCCGTATCTACTCTCAGTCCATCCCAGTATAACATATTTACCCCATATCTCCTCCCACTGCCCTCCCAGTCCATCCCAGTATGGCCCAATCACCCCATGTCTCCTCCCAGTCGATCCCAGTATAACATAGCTACCCCACATCCCTCCCACTCTTTCCCAGTCTATCCCAGTATGGCCCAGTCGCCCCACATCTCCTCCCAGTGCCCTCCCAGTCCATCCCAGTATGGCCCACTCACCCCATATCTCCTCCCAGTGCCCTCCCAATCCATCCCAGTATGGCCCAATCGCCCCGTATCTCCTCCCAGTGCCCTCCCAGTCCATCCCAGTATGGCCCAGTCCCCCCATACCCCCTCCCAGTCAATCCCAGTATGGCCCAGTAACGCACCGGTGGACTCATCAGCGGCCAGGATTCCTTTGCCCGGTGCCACGATGCGCTTGGCAATGTCAGACAGCTCCTGCTTCTGCTCCGGGGTGAGAGCCGGGTACTGGTGCGGCATGGCGGCGGTGCTACTGGGGGAACTGGGAGCACTGGGAGGGCGCCTGCGGGGACACGGTGCAATGCGCGTCGGTGGCCGCTAGGGGGCGCTAAGGGGAGGCGAATGGGGGCAGCCGCTAGGGGGCGCTAAGGAGCAGTGGGAGGAATGCCGCTAGGGGGCGCTAGGGAGCAGTGGGAGGACAGCCGCTGGGGGGCGATAAGGAGCAGTGGGAGGACAGCCGCTAGGGGGCGCTAAGGAGCAGTGGGAGGACAGCCGCTAGGGGGCGCTAAGGAGCAATGGGAGGACACTGAGTAGGGGGCGCTAGAGAGCAATGGGAGGACAGCCGCAAGAGGGCGATAGGGAGCAATGGGAGAACTACCACTAGGGGGCGCTAGGCAGCAGTTGGAGGACAGTCGCTAGGGGGCGCTAGGGAGCAGTGGGAG